GAACATATCAATGTGGTGGGACATTCATCATTCGATCATTCTACATCTTCTATGTACCGGTAGGTATCTTTGTGGAACGATGTTTCCATCTCTGGTGCACGATGCAATGTGAAATAGAAGCACGTGGGACTCACCCAATTCATACTCCTCGATGTGTGATACATACGGTACTTCACCCAATCAGTTGTTTCCAAAAACTTCACTGTAACAATTGTGTACTGCAGTCACACACACACTCCCATTCCTCCGTTCAACTCTTCCTAAACAACCCTCAGATTTGGCATTTTTCCGTCGTGGGGCCTTTCACAGAAGCTTCCTCGCCTCGTTGGAGTGAACAGGGCGCGGGAGGTCTCGCTAACAGCCGAGCCAATCAGCGCAGACAAGGCGGAGCGGTGGGGTCTGTTGTCCCGAGTGGTTGAGGCGGACCAGCTCATGCCGACAGCAATCGCCATTGCCAAGGCCATTGCCGCCAACCATCCCGGCATGGTGGTTCGTTACAAGGCAGTGATCAACGATGGGATTGGGCTGACTCTTAATGATGGGAGGCGGCTGGAGACGGTGAGTGATATTTTTGTTATCCTTTCTTCTCTTCTTTTTGTTCTGTTATTTTTCCAGTGCAAAGAGTCTTGGTGGTAACTCTCTTAGCATGGTCATTTGTTACAAGGCAGTGATCAACGATGGGATTGGACTGACTCTCGGTGAGAGCAGGCGGCTGGAGACGGTAAGTCTGATTCTTTTCTCCTCCCGTGCTAAGGTTATTGGTGTTAATCATTCTTGCGTGGTGGCTCGTCACGTACGAGGCAGTGATAAACTGTGGCACTGGGCTGACTCTCAGTGAAGGCAGGCAGCGAAAGAGAATCGATTCTCTGGTTTCATCTGTTGCCTGGCGCATGCCTGACGCATTGGTGGTGACCATGGTTTGGTGCTTCATTGCAAGGAATGTCGAATATGCTTGTGGTTGGAAAAAGACAGTGGGTAGGAACGGTCCCCCGTTTTCCCCTCGAAACCCTACTCCCGTTTTCCCTCTCCTTCCCACTCTTGCCCACTCTTTGCCCACTTTAGTACCTCAGAAAGCGAGTGTCCTTCATCCACCCTCCTTTTGTACCCCCCTGATTGTTCTCGTCCTCTCATTCTCACCTGTGTGCCCGTTTTCCAGGAGAGAGCACGGACATACTACAAGCACATGACACCTCAAGACTTTGAGAACATGAAAGTGTTTATAGCCTCCAGGTCGGGGAAGTCGAAGCTCTGAGTACAAATGGAATATAACAAGCATAGGGGAGACTATCACGTTCTGTATAGCTGCTTACATGCCACATATCCTGTTGTCTTTGCATGATGTGACCGTTACTTGGTGAGGCATGTCCATAGTCTTGCAGTCTTCCAAACCAGCAGGTATGTTCAGCTAGAAATTATGGAAAGATGAAAGATCAGTTAACAAGGAAGCTGCAAATAAATCTCAAGTGAAATCACAGGTGTGAATTGTTGATTTGGTCGTTATTTGTGGCACTTCTCATACCGCGGATATGCGCACACTGTACTGAGATAATTGTGCAAATCCGGCGAGACTGTACACGTATTGTGTGTTCAGTGTCTGCCACGTCATCTCTTCAAGCCCCTTCTCATTCCCCAGCGAATTGTCGGTGGTCAGGTCACTCGAAGTCTCAAAGCTGTTGGATGCTGGATGCAATGCCACAGTGGCTCGTCATGCGTCACATCAGCTCGAGGGGTCCCCCTCAGTGGAAGTTCCATTCCAGTGGGCTGGGGGGAACTCCGAGAGGGTTCCGCCAGGCTGGCCAACCAGTTGACCTCTGAGGGCGTGTTTGTGCCTTCGGGTTATCCGCTCTTTGAGTCGTCCGAATTTATGGGAGGACACGATCTGTGATGATACACCTCGGGTCAACACGCAAAATCTGTTGGCGAGTAGTTTGACAAGAAATTTAGATGGATACCCTTTTTCTTTTCTCTCGCCAAACTGAGTTGCGATCGCCAGAACAAGCTGGCGAGCGATCACGATATAGGCACGACAAAAAAAATCTGACTGAAATGTTCAATGCCCTTGCACACCCTCCATTCACCCCACCTCAGAGTTTCATGGCTTTTGGGCAACCCGTTCCGTCCCCCGTAGTCAGCTACTGCATAGAGCGTATCCCCAGCCTGCTGGTGGTTGTCCGCTAGGACAAAGGAATAACGTGTGTTCCACGTGCTCCTTCTAGGATGCTGGCCATCTCGGCCATGTTTCTAGACAGCTCTATGGTATTATTCTTTGTACATTGATTACGATCAATATATAATCTTAGCCCTTGCACACATTGATCGCTCTATCAGAGATGTCGCAGAGTAGCTAGGCGACAATTTGACTCAAACCAAACTCATATCGTATACCCAGTTCGCTGACGCTCGCCACGTCCCGATTCGGAAAATCCGAAGCTCGAGTCGGAAAATCCGCGGTTCGGGAATAAATTCGAGATGACTCGAAGGGCGTGCACCCGAACCCATGAATACGCCCTGCATGTCCATTTTCGGTCATCGCGTCGTCCATTTTCTGGATCGCGTTGCTACAATACAGTACTGTAGCAACAATCGCGAGCGAAAGGAACGAATCCATTTCAGGTTAGATCAGGGCGGCAGACACCTGACGTCATCGATTCTTCCGCTTGAAGGTCGTCTAAATCAAAGCTGATGTGGCATGTGGATCCACGAACCTGGCAAAGGGAGACGGAGAAAACAAGGGGCGCGGACCGCGAGGGGTAAGGACGTGGCCCAGACCGCTTCTGATTGCCTCGATCAGAAGTGATTGATAACTTCCAGGAAGCCCCAAGGCCAATTTCAGGCAATCGGGGGCAATCAGCTGATCGCGATCAGCTGATCGCCCCATCTCGATCAACCGCCTCAAACTCCCCAATCAAACACAATCACACACAATCACGCACGATCAGTTGATTGCGTTGGGTTGCACCCCTATGCGACGCCAGCGAAAAGTTACAGTGTTCGTCTGGGTTTCGAGTAGCCCTCGCCTTACCTCCACGACTGCAAGAACTTTCTGGAGCCGTCGTAGCGTTGCTGTCTCCCTTTGCGAAATTACAGGGTGACACAGGTATCGCTGGAGCAGTGCTCATGCCTTTCGCTGTCGCCAAATTTGGCCCGAAGCTGTTGGGAAATGTTTTTGTGCTTGCCATGCACCATCCCATCACATTCGAGGAATTTAGGCTCTGATCGGGCGGCACGCGCCGCGCGATCAAAGTCGCCCCGATCAGATCCAACCCGAGCAGATCACTGCCGATCAGACCCGGTCTGGGCCACGTCCTAAGAGTTTGCTTCGGTTTGCCCATCTCACATGACCCATTCTGCGCGCCAAATCGAACGACATTGTCAAGTTGCCTGTCAGTTTCTCAACCACCGAGGTCCATTCACGGGTCATCAGGAAGATCGCAGCTGCAGCAGACTGACATGCTCGGCGACGGCTGGATGAGGCGAGTCCCTCGCCTCGCCACCAGAAACCTCAGTTTCGCCAGCGACGCATGACGGAACTGGTCCTTCGCGAAGGGATGGCTCACGGTCAATTTGTGGCGGAGGTTTCGATTGGTTTCCAGTCGTCTGAACTCAGGTGCCCAATTTCACCACACAGCAGCCCAAACCTGCATGCATTGAATCGCAACCGTCCCCGAGTCGCAATGCGTGAAGTCCAAGGGACGGCCGACGAACCAGATGAATTTTCCACCCAAAACAGAACCTTCTCCTCTGCAGGTCAAAAGATCCCGCGAACTTTTCGAGATCAACCGCTCACATGAAGTTTAAAAAGTCACCGCTAGTTTCCATCGACGGTTTAAAATCACGCACGTGTGGAACCCGTACAACCGCAAGCCATGGTGGGAGCTGCCGACATTTTCTGGGCACTTTCCTCCCTCTCGGACCCTCACGTCTCGTCGCATGGCTGGCAATGGCAAATCAGCCAGCAACACCGGACGGTGGCCTCCCTCGTCACCTCCTCCTGTGCTGCATTGCGTGCCTGCCTGTCTGCCTGGCCTGGGGTGGGGCTGGGGGCTTGGCTCGCCTCGCTCGCCTTGAGTGTGTGTCTGTGCTGCTGTGCTCCTCGAGGTTTCATTTTCCATCCAACCTGCCTCCGTTTCCACTGCTGCCGCTGCAGCCAGCCAATGCAATCAGCCGAGCCGAGTCAGCCTCGCGCGATCCCATTCGACGGAACAAAAACGGAACGGAATGCAACTGCACGCGCAGCAGCGCACACCCCAACCAAACCCGACCAGACAGAATGCCTTTTTAAACCATCTCAACCGTTCTAACTCCTCCTTAAATTCAACCTTGAGATTAGCCACAGAATTGCTCCTCTCTACTTCTAGCATATTCTTGCCCCACCCAAGCCCGAAAGCTCGATCGAAGCATAATGCAACCTCCAAGAGCCGCTTTCCATAACCCACTTGCCCGCAACGGACTCGATTCCATTCCACATCTTCAAGGCCAGTAAAGCTACTGGCTCCTCGCCCCCCACTGCCATAACTGACTTACCTCCGCCTGAGCGACAGTTGCGCCAGTTTCCTGCAGAAGCATAATGCAACCTCCAAGAGCCGCTTTCCATAACCCACTTGCCCGCAACGGACTCGATTCCATTCCACATCTTCAAGGCTAGTAAAGCTACTGGCTCCTCGCCCCACACTGCCATAACTGACTTACATCCACTCGATTGTTCAACTGAGCGACAGTTGCGCCAGTTTCCTGCAGAAGCAACCACCACTTCAGCCGTCCTCGTTTCATTTGGAATACCCACTCACAGTTCTCGGATTGCTTTGCACCGCCTCTCTTCAAAAGCCGCTAACCCCCTCCCATTTTCATTTCTCTTCATTCGCATTTCCGATTAGAAATTGCTAGACGATTGCTGGGGAAGCCATTCAGCTGAATCCCGCATTACATTAGCCGTAACGCACGTGCAGTTCCTGCATCACGAGAGTTTTATATCGTTGAAGTCACTCAGTCGTTCTATAGCCATGGATTCCCACGAATCGTACGATCCCAGCCGTGTCCCCGCATGGCTCCCCCGCTTGCTCCGCGGCCGCTATTTCACGAGCTGCCCGCGCCACGCCGGCGCTAGCAGAGCCGAGCGAAACTATTTCTGCGTCACGTGCAGCGGCGAATCTCTCTGCACCGCCTGCATTGCGGAGCAGCATTCTAACAATTCCAGCCACAATTCCGGTCATCACAACCACTCCGGCGGAGGTTCAGTTCATTCCGGTGGCGAATCGACGAAACCCCACAATATACTCCAAATCCGCCGCTCGTCGTACCACGAGTGCGTGCGAATTAACGAGCTGACGAAAATCCTAGATCTGTCGCACATTCAGGTGTACGTTATCAACAGCGCCAAGATCGTGTTCCTCAACGGCCGGCCGCAGGCTCGTCCCGTGAAAGGCGCGCCGTTCTACTGCGAGACGTGCGAGAGAATGCTGCTCGACGCGAGCCGGTTCTGCTCCCTCGGCTGCAAACTCGCTGCTGTTCCGAAGGATTCTACGCTTTCATTTGTTCCGCGGGTCGCGCCGGCGTCTGGAGGAAATGGCGCCGGGTGTAACGGGGCGAATGCCTCGAAGCGTGCGTCAGCAACTGGCCCTGCCACGTCACACCGGGTGAATGGGTACAATGCAGCGGCTGCAGGAGGAAATTCTGACACGTGGAAGGAGGATAACGGCAATGGTAGTGCGTCCGCTGCGTGGGTTCAGAAGGCGAGAACGACAGGAAAGAAGCTCGTTACTCCTGAAGTGAACACGGCGACGTCATCCCCGGAAGTTTCTCTGCTAGCTGCTTCTATGGAGTACGACAATACCGAGGACAGCTTCGGCGGCGCTGACAGCGGCGGGATTCTCGTGGCGGACGATGACGACGACCGTCTGCTTGTGGAACGTGACGTTGACGGTGACGGTGACGGACAATGCGACGGGTCGTTCGTTTGGAGCCAGCGCGGATTTGGCGGAGGAAAGAGAGTCCGCGTGGAGAAGTATCCGCACACGACGAATTTCCCGCAGCTCGTGCCGATTTCGTCGCCGTTTTCGTATCCTGACGGCTCGCCGTCCTCTCCGCCGCGGCTCGGGTTCTCCCCGCCGTCAACTCCGAGCCTGACTAGCAATCGCCGACGGAAGGGTGTGCCTCAGCGGTCTCCTCTGGTGTGAGTGACGATTTAAAGTCGGAACTGTCTCAATGCTGGTGCGGGACATGGTGTAAGGAGAAGGTGTGACATAGCAAAAGACATGGCGACAGGCATGGGGACAGGTAGGGGGATTGGCAGGTCGACAGGCATGGGGGGGATGGAAGCATAATCTTGGGTCGTAAGGACTGGAGCAGGAGGGTGAAGCGGGTGTTGGTGGCATTGTTGTGCTGCTGCTGCTGCTGCTGCTGCGGCTGCTACTGCTGCTGCTGCTGGTGGCGGCCTGACCAATCACATGGGCGCAGGAGACCCATACTCGTTATGCAGCGATCTCCTGCAATTGCTGGATCTGCTGCTGTAATTCTTTGCTGGTGGGCCATATCACTGCTGGTTGGAGCAGTTGCTGGGCCGTGCCTCTTCTGAGGCAAATGACATTTGACATGCAAGCGGCATGTGGCATGCGGCATGTGACATTGGGCATGGGACATGAGACTTACCACATGTCACATGTCTCATGTCACATGTCCTATGTCCCATGACAAGATGCAGATGCAGTTCAGAGCCCCAGCTATGCTTCAACCAGTGCCAATATCACCCGACTGTACATACGCACACCCTACCGCTGTGGTACCGTATATTGCTTTTGGTCTACTGCTGCATATGCAGCTTCTAGTGCCTGTGGTGGAGTCCCTATTGTTTCCTTTTCAAATGCTTTGCATGTAAATCTTTCTTGCAGCTAGCAGTGTGTAGTGCTGCTGACTGTTCTGGATATTGCACTGTAATCAATTTTCTATGGTATCTTCCTGGTTTCACCTATTTTCCTTATGGGTAGATTGTCATTTAGTCCAGCAACAAGTATGTCGGATGCGTATTTATTGTGTTAGTGCGTCATGCCGAGAGTGCTCGGTTTTTTATTAAAACATAACGATTTTCTCACTGGCGAACAACTTCGCGTGATAGAAGTCTTGGCCTATCTCCCAGGGTTGACCAGCCTGCTTTTTTCTACCAGCGCGCATCCAGGAATAATACTCACCAGGAGATTGTGTCAGCTGTCATCGAGCAGAGATTTGGTTGCAGAAAGCGGCGTGGGTCACGGAACGAAGATAGCAGTTGATGAGGTTAAACCGCTAGAGATTGACATTGAATCTCGTGGTTCGTTTTACGCATGTAACGTTCATGCTGATCAGTCAACCGTCTTGCAACAGCGTCCCCTCCTAGACAGTCTCAGGTACCCCCAAACAATTTTGCGTAGCATAGGTTTCTCTTCGGCTGGTTCCTTTATCGGCTGGTTCCTTTATCGGCAAGTAAACCCGTTTCTTGTGCAATCTTGCAAAAATTCCGGTTTGGAAGTCATCTAGCGGCACGCTCTAAACGAATTCCCACTCAGTCGGTTCTGAAATCAATAGACACGGTTCTAGACCCGTGTGCAGAACAGCTAATAAGTATTTCTCCACCATGACGTCGAGCGTTCCTCAGTCTGACGTGCTAGCGACGCTGGGTCTCCCAATTCGCGTCTTCACGTACGGAGCTGCGACGCCTGCGACTCCTGCGACTCCTGCGCCGTTTGAAAGCGACGCGGCTGCGACTGCAGGCGACGGGGAAAGAGAAGGAGGCCCGGCGACGGCGGAGGGAGGCTCGCAAGCGGTGGATGCGGGACGGGAAGCTGGTGATGACTTTTACGAGTTCACGCCCGCAGATTATTCGAGACTGATGGCGGGAAAGAAGGAAGGTGCGTCCGGGAGGGTGTGTCTGATCTGTTTCGAGGTTGCTGGCGCAGGCGAATCTGGGAACGGAAGTTGGTGATGAGTTCTATGAGTTCACGCCCGCGGATAATTTGAGATTGATGGCGGGAAAGAAGGAAGGTGCGTGCAGGAGGTTGTATTTGATCCAATTCTGGGACATCTCCGCTTATTCACAAGGTCGCTCTCCTGTTTGTGCTTGGTATGGTTGGGTAGGAACGATTTCACCGTGATGCTTACACCAGTTATGCTGAAGCAAAACATGCCACTTTTTGTTTTCTGTTAACTGAACGGTTGTTTCCTGCATACAAGAGTTTCAAGAACCGATACTTCTAAAATATTCACGGGTTACCACCTGCTCGTTTCGCCCTCCCATCTGCTCGTTTCGCCCTACCACCTGCTCGTTTCGCCCTCCCTGCTCTCCCTTCTCCAATCTTGGCCGTGCAATGTGTCCTTGCCTGCAGAGCGCTTTCTCAAGACCAAAGCCATCCGGGACCTAGAGCAGCAACAACGGAAGGCGCAGTTTAAACAGGTGAGGCTATGAGGATTTGACGAAGGGGACAAAGACATCCGTTTGTTTACATGCTTGGGTTGATTCATTGCAGAACATTCCTTTCACCACCTTTTTCGTTAGAATCCCTTTGTCCGTCTCCTTTCTTTGACCCCTCTCTGTATTCCTTCTCTCAGGCTGTCCCTTGCCTTGCTAGCTCGTTCCTAGTATTCACCGTCTCAGTATTCACCAGTTACAAAAACTCCTTGTTAAGACTGTTGGTTTGCTTCATCACTGCTTCACCAGTTTATCAAAGCCCGTCTCCTAGGTTCCAGTGTCCACCTTTCCGTACCGCGCTGGAGTCCTCCAGGTTATGATCAAAGTACCCTTCCCTTGCGGTTTCACCTTGGTTACTTTGAAGTTTCACCGATTTGTGGTTTGCAGTTTCCAGTGTTCATTCCGTTCTGTCCTCCCACCTCCTCCAGGCGATCATCAGAGTCCGCTTCCCGGACAATACAGTGGCGGAGGTCCCCTGTTTCACTCCTTTCCACCCCTCTCAACTCCTCCAGGCGATCATCAGAGTCCGCTTCCCGGACAACACAGTGGTGGAGGCGGCCTTTGTCCCCACAGATGCTGTAGCATCTGTGCGGCAGCTCGTGCGCAAGTGCCTGCTACAGCCGGACCTGCCTTTCTTCTTCTGTGAGTGCTGTAATTTTTTGTTATCACTCATTGATTTGTGTAATAATAATGATAATTATAATCATTATTATTATTGTAGGTGAAGGGAGCATTTAGAAGGCGAATATTGCGTTAATTTATGCTGGTCTCATCAACGGGCTCGAAATGCTTTTCATCTTTCAGCTTGTCCCGCTACTGTGTGGATCTCATGTGGAGGACACACTTCTTCCTCTCACTTTTTGTTGCTGCCCTTCCAACAGACACGAAACCACCAAAGAGGAGGATCAAGAACAAGGAGGAGGAGGATCTGTACAGCGCGCAGCTCACTCTCCCGATGCCTTTTGAGGCACCTCAAAAGCGCAGCTCACTCTCCCCATGTGCACGTCCCATCTTGTTCCTGTTCCTCTTGCTGTCAACCTAACAGACACGACACCACCAAAGAGGAGGATAAAAAATGAGGAGGAGGATCTGTACAGCGCGCAGCTCACTCCAGGTGCTCTGCTGCACGTGGCAGTTGAATCTTCTGCAGCAGCAGGTGGGTTGAATGGCATGGCAGATTGTATTGCTGCATTTATCATGCGATTAAGCAGGTGTGAGCTGCGCAGCTCACACCTGGTGCACCGCTGCACGTGGCTGTTGTGTTTTCTGCAGCAGGTGGGATGAATGAACAGCAGCGCAGAGAGGTTCAGAGTGATACAGTAGCAGTCGAATCATTGAAGTACCGAATAAGCAGTAAGGCAGGGAGTTTTTACGCTCCTGGTGCACTGCTGCACGTGGCAGTTGAGTCTTTTGCAGCAGGTGCAGCAAGTACCCCAATTTTACACCCACTACCCGTTTTTTATTAGTCCACCTTCTTCCCAACCTTCCCTCCCATCCATGCCCCCCACCCTTCCAGAACCAGCTTCTGACTCATCCGCTCAAGCCTCCCTCTTACACCCGGATGTTCTTGCACCCACGGACGTTTTCTTGCACCCACGGACGTTCCCTTGCAACAGGAACTGTCATCTGTACAGTCAAGTGAGGGGCCACTGGAGAAAAAGGTGACCACCGCCGGGCAAAGGAGAGGTGATTCGTTTTTCCATTATTACGCTTCCAGCCGACCCATATTATTTTCCACCCTTCCCCCCCATCCTTCCCCCCCATCGTTCCCCCCGCCCGTGCCCGTAACTTGTCAGAATCTTCTTTGGACTCATCCGCGCAAGCCTCCCTCTTACACCCGGAAATTCTTGCACTCAAGGATCTTCCGTTGCAACCAGAACTGTCCGCGGTAGAGTCGAGTGAAGGGCCACTGGAGAAAAAGGATGAGAGGGGTAAAAGAGAGGTGAAGCAAGAAGGGGTGGCTGCAGGGTCGGCAGGTGCTGTTCCTGGTGCTTCAAAAGCAGGTCTCTCGTCAAAACCCAAGTGGTTCAAGCGGTGAATTCTCGATACCAGCAGAAGACCACCAATAGGGGCAAGAGGCATGTTGCTGCAGGGTCAGTTGGTGCTGTGCCAGAAGTGGATATGGGAATGGCTGTTGAAGGTTGATGGTTGCCAGGAACTGACTCCGAAAGCCGTCACCTGTGCGGCCGGCCGTCACCCGTGCGGCTGGTCGTCACCCGTGTGGCCGTCACCCGTGCGTTCGTCACCTATGCAGCCGTCACCTGTGCGACCGTCAACTGTGCGACCGTCACCTGTGCATGCAGCCGTCGCCGTGCGGCCATCACCTGTGCCGGGCAGCTGGTGGTGTTGTATCAATGGCCTTGAGCGCAGGCAAGCTCCTGCTGCCCAAACCAGAAGAGGTTTTTTGCCACTCGACTTTTCCATGGATAATGATTTCTTCCACTCTGCGGTGCTGGGAGGTGAAGTGACAAGTACCGTATTTCAGGAGCCAAGGCTTTTTGCATGCACATACCCTAGCTCATACAGCAAAACCTTGCTTACATAGCTTAAAATAACCGTAACTGAAAGCTATCTGTGCTATTGTTTGCATCATGTTAACATGCCTGCATAAGCACCTATAACAGCTTCACCTAAAACACTAGCGTGAGTTGAATGCTATACATTATCAATAAGATCCTGGAAATCCATCACAAACCAGTCAGCTTCTGCAGCAACAACTTTCCGGACCTGAATTCCTCCGTACCCAATAAACATGTCAGCTCCACCTGGTTGCCGAGCCTAAACAACACATGAATGAAGGTCACAATGTAGGAGACACAAGTTACGACTTGATAAATGCAATGATGTGAGTATCAAGAGAATGATAATTACAAGAATGGTTACGGTGCCGACACAGGTCAGTCATTAAGTGATCGCGCAGAAAGAGGTGCTTTCATGCTTCATGAACCACATAGAGCTACATGAATAAAAGGGCTACATGAGAAAACAAGGAGAACGTAGTTTGAAGATTTGTGTGCATGAATCTGTTGACACAACTCACCTCGAGATCAGTGGCACCATCTCCCACCATGACCAGTGCTTTGAACCCATGATCCTGCACATATAGGGGGAAGCATGGGGAGCAACAGCATGGGGAGCAACAGCATGGGGAGCAACAGCATGGGGAGCAACAGCACCATGCGGAGAGAAATAAGCTGGGTAAATGAGTAATCCAGACCAGAAAACATGAACATGGAACATGTGGTTCCTTCTAGCGTGGTACAAATGAAACATGTTTCCTTCCTCTTGCCCCCTCCATTGCCTCCCTCCCCGCTTTTACCCTGTACCCTTCGCCCAGCCCTTCCCTGTCCTCACCATTTCTTTCCCCCCCTCACTCTCTGCCTCTCCCCTTCTTACCTGCTTCAGCTGCGCGATAGCTTTGGCCTTGCCTCCACTCCTAGACGTGGGCTCATTAACGTCAAACCCAGCATACGCGCCGCTCTTCTCCTCGAACAGCAGACGGTTGGCGAAGATGTTTGTAACGGGGATGTCCAGAAGCGCGGCGACAGGCTGAGGCAGCGAGCGCGAAAGGGAGTCGGGGACACGGGAGTGGGGGAGAGAGAGCAGGAGCAGGAGAGGGAGGGCAAGGAGTGGGGAAGGGGAAACGAAAGGGCGACGGGAAGGGGAACGGGGTAAGGGAGCAGAAGCGGGGGGGCATGAAAGGAGGAAGGGGACAATGAGCAGAGGAAGGGGAAACTGGGAGCGAAAATGCGAAGGGGTTGAAGGGCGGAAAGAGGAGCGAGGGACAGCGAGCGGAAAGGAGGCGGATGGGGAGGATGGGGTGTGGGAAAAGGGGGGGAGGGGGGGAGGGAGGTTTAGGGGAGTTCCAAGATTTCAAGAGTACACGCGAGGGTCAGAGAAGAGAGAGACTGTACGGAAGCGAAGAAGAGAGAGAGATTACATGACTGACCTCAATCATTTGCCGAAAGCCACCAGAAATAAGGTACACCTCTGTTCCTCTCGCCTTGAGTCTTTGAACGAGTTCACCAATACCGGGATTTAGCCTGGCACGGAGATACAAGGGATATCAGACAACAGCAACCAAGATGCGATATGAGGTTACGTATACAAAGACAGACAACAAAGGAGGGGACTAAAAAACTTTATTGAACTAATATAAACAACAAAATACAAAACAGAAGGGAGATTGAAAATAGAAAAAGTACTCGGGAATTGTGCCGAGACTTTCATACCTTGGTGGCTGGTCCCTGAGGAACCCTGCCACGTCAGCAGCGGAGGGATTAAATATCTCCAGCCGAGCGGCCAGAGCAGTTTCAAACGGAACCGACCCGGACATGGCCCTGAACGGGCAGGCAGGAAAACAATTTGGATGTTCCGGGCAGAAAAGGGAGCAGGGTAGAAGAGGACTAGAGTCAGTTGATGATAACTCAAACAAGAGAATCATTTTTAACATAATAAGCGTTTTTATTCCGCATAGACAGCCATGCGATGTCACCCCACGGCCTCAAACCGCTGCCGTGAAACGGAGCAGCGGCCAGGTCGAGACCGAGAGGGTGAATTGCTTGCAATGTAGCGGCATCATGCTAGGAACGGACGCCATTGATGCCCTGAGGCTGGCAGTCAGGCCTTCTCAATAGCCGCAGATACGTGCATGAATGAATACTTGAAAAAAAAATCACAAAAAGAATAACGAAGCTGATCCGGAAACATAATTACGATCTTAACTGGTAGCGGCTCCGCAAAGCGCGGCGATCTCGTCTGTGAGAATTAAGAAAATCTTTGGCGTTCTTACTTGGTCGTCCAGGCAGCTACTGCTTCGCCCGCTCCGCAATACGCGGCGAGCTCGTCAATGCCTTCATCGACGCACACGGTGCTGTCGACGTCGAAACACACCGCGTCCGCCGCTCGCCACACGCGGAGCACGTCTGGACGGGGGAGCGGAGAAAACGGGGAGCGGAGGGGAGGAGGAGAGGGGGGGAGGGGGAGCAGAGGGAAAGGGGAGCGAAGTGGAGGGGAATGGAGTGGAGGGGTTTGAAGGCTCGAACGGTGGATGGAGCTCCATTTTGAATTGACAAAAAGGAGGCCTAAACAGGAGGAAGGAGCCACCAGAATTGCCGAGGAACACCAAAAACAGATCGACGAAGCACGATCAGTGACGGTCTGTACAACAGCAATGTGTTGCGGCTATGCATGCTAGGGTTGTTCTTAGGTGCATCAGAAGCTGTCGAGGAACAACGAGAGCAGGTCGAGAGGCCGTCGAAAACGAGTTATCAGTGACGGTCTGTACAACAGCTAGGATTGTTTGTAGGCGAATCAGAAGCTGTCGAGGAACAACGAGAACAATATCGACAACGATTTGCGAAAACTCGTTTGATGACGGTATCAGATACGGCGATGTGCTTCAAGTAGGTATGCTAGGGTTTCAAAGGTGCCATACAACATGCGTCGCAACCCTTTGATTTGAGCGGCTGAAACAGCTGCATGACAGCGTAATTAGGTGAAGTACAAACCTTCCGAGGGGGTTGTGTTAGTTGTCAAGGCACTACCACTCGCGCTGCATCTCGTGCTGCTAGTCGCGTTGCTTCGTCCCGCATTCGTCATCCGCAGCGGCCGCTGAGCCGACAATCCGACGATACTACGCTTACAGCCGGCGGATAACCGACCAGAAGACGAACTTGACAGAATTGACTTAGCCGGCGGAATTGACGGCACTGACGGACTCTGGCAACGAGCCGAGGAGGTTCTTGGCCGAGGAGGCACAGCACCGACACAAGAAGCACGAACTAGGAATCGACTGGCAGCAGATGGAGCCATGGCTGCTCTGCCAAAGCAGAAAGGCAGCAGGTTTGAGTTGAATGGTTTTTGGGGATAATTGGCTCAGCCAAACCTCACCATTCATGAGCCAGAAGAGGAAGAAAGAGGGAGCAACAGAGAGCGGGAGAGAGAGGCGAAGAAGGGTGAGAAGAGTTTGAGAAGGTTGAAGAGAGGCGGAGAGAGGCTCGGGTATTTATCTCTTCCGTGGAGACGCTGGGGAGTGGGGAGGGACTGAGAAAGACCAGAGGGGGAGGAGTGGGGGGATTGGAGGAGGTGGGGGAGGAGGTGGGGAGGGGGAGTACGAGGTGGAGGTGGGTATCAAATCAAGTGCAAGGTTGATACACATGCTCTTTAGAAGTATTTCGTTACATGACATAAAGCTGAGTGTTATGAGTTGTAAATGAGAAATGTGCGCAGAATGCAATAACGCAGAAGTGATTACAACGTCTGAGCAAATAATGGGGCCTAGCACTAATATAGCAAAGCTAGCTAGGCGACGGTCGCGGAGTCACGAGGTGGTTGGGTGCAGGTTCGGGGTTGGGAAACCCTTAGGCGACGCGATGGTGGTTCGGAGGGCGAGGCCGTCGGGCCGATTCTGTTCTCCGGAAACCGGAGTTGTACGCATACAGTGTGATCCAGTAAGGAATCACGGAAAATTCCTTACACTAACCCTCCCTTTTAGAAAAGGTGGTATATTTCCGGGACGCCCCGGCGGGTCAGGTAAGCATTCACAACCGGATGTCCCTAAAGCGAGTCAGTTGCGACGTACATGTCGTCCTCGCTCGTACGATCTTTCCAACAAAGCAGGAAGATGACATTGCGTCTGGTAGCCGTAAGATCCACGCGGTGGTTCAAGATCTTCCAAGGCTCAAGCGTGGGTACGCGTGTCTGCTGCATGTCGGGTGGTTGGCGCGATGTTGGGCCGAGCGACGGCTGGCGACTGCGGCGGCTCATAATGGCGCAGCAAGCTGACGTGGAATGGGTCATATATTTTCCAATCGTCGGGCAGCAGTAGCTTCGTCGTGACAGGTGTCACCATCTGGACAATGCAAAATGGTCCAACGTAGTGGTGTCAAAGCTTCGCGGGCTGAGGCAGCCAAAGTTTTTTTGTGTTTAGGAGGACCACTTGCTCGGTGAGGAAGGGTAGACCCCGTCGGAGCTTGTCCGCGTTGTGACTGGCAGCGGTATTAGCCTTGCGAATAAAATCGGCTGCCTTTTTGTGGGTGGTCTGAAGTTCCTTGAAGAACTGCTGCGATCGTGGTACTGGGATGTCGAGTGTCGTTGAAGAGGGTACCACGGGGTCTATCCCGTGATTCAAGTAAAAAGGGGATTGTTTGGTCGTTGCTCAGGGTGCGTTCTTATACACAAACTCCAGCATCGGGAGCGACTCCTCCCACTTGGTCAGGTTGGGGCAGTTGGTTCGAATCACCTGTTCCATGGTCTGGTTTGTCCGTTCTGTCTAACCGTCGGTCTGCGGGTGATAAGACGACGAAAACCGCAGGCGGGTGTCGTACTGTGCCCACGTCTCCTGCCAAAACTTTGACGTAAGTTTCGAGTCTTGATCGCTGATGAGCGCCAAGGGTAACCCGTGTAGGCGTACGATGGTGGAGATGAAAAGCTTTGTTGTATCTTCGGCTATGATCATCGTGCGGCATGGTGCGAAAATGCGCCATTTTCGTAATCGGTCAACGACGACCAACACCGAGCCGTTGCGACTTGCGCCAGCTGAGAGCCCTGTGACAAAAGCCATTTTCACGTGTTGCCATGGTCGTTCGGGTGGCTCGAGGGGCTGCAGCAATCCGGCTGGCCGTTGTCGCAACAACTTTATGGCTTGGCAGGTCGGGCAAGTTGTCACGTAGCGCTGCACGGCTGTCAGCATGTCGGGCCAATAGTAGTTCCGCTGCAGCAACTTGAGTGTTTTGTCGATTCCGAAATGCCCGGAAAGGTTGTAGTCGTGTACCTCCTGCGTCAGCAACTCCCGTAAGGGCTGGTAGGCGAGTACCCGAATCCGGTTAGTACCGGCTTTTAGGTAATATTTGTCGTGCTGCGTAGTAGCCCGTCGGTAAAGATTCTTGAAAAACCTGTCGATCTTGTATCCGTGGGTGAATAGTCCCGTCAGCATCGAGTGGGTGTGGGCGATTAGTACTGCTGATGTCTGCATGGATGGGCGGGTCAAGGCGTCGGCGATGTTGTTGGCGCCTTTCTTGTACGTGATGGTGTACCAAAAATTGGACTCGAGGTAGTCCAACCACCGGATTTGTCGCGGGTTGAGTGTTGGTTATGTGCGCAAGTACTGTAGCAATTTGTGGTTGGTTCGGATCGTCACGTCGGCTCCCGTTAAGTAGCAGCACCAGGTACAAAATGCGTGGACGATGGCCAGCATTTCCTTGTGGTGGACCAGGTAGTTGCGCTCGGGTGGCTGCATCTTGCGTGATTCGTAGGCGATGGGTTGCAGCCCTTTGCCGAAGTCCTGTAGCAGGACGGCGCCAACGGCGAAGTCGCTGGCGTCCGTGATGATTTCGAACGGTCGAGATGAGTCGGCGAGGCAGAGGACCGGGGGTGAACCCAAAATGTTTTTGAGTGTGTCAAAGGCAGATTGCTCTCTCTCCCCCCACCAAAAATAGGTGTCCTTGTGCAAAAGGTCGGTTAGAGGCTTGGTTATCCCTCCTATATTAGGTACAAAACGACGAACGTAGTTAACAAAACCCAGAAAACTCTGTAATTCAGGAATGTTGCTCGGCGGATTCCACTTAGCAATGGTGTCCACTTTGCGAGGGTCGATTTTAATGCCTTCGCCCGAAACCGCCTGCCCCAGAAACTCCAGCTCCGGCTTCAAGAACTCGCACTTAGAGCCTTTCGTAATGAGCCGGTTTTCCTATAAGCGCTGGAACACCTCCTCCAAACCCCTCAAATGTTCTTCTTCTGTCTTGCTGTACACCAGGATGTCGTCGAGATACACGATGACTATTTTGTCCAGCACGTCCCGGAAGACCCCGTTCATAGTCAGCTCGAACGTCGAGGGCGCGTTGGTCAGTCCGAACGACATCACTGTATTTTCGAAACTGTCGTAGTGTGTGCAAAAAGCTGTCTTCGGGCAGTCGTCGGCAAACGCGAATCTGGTGATACCCCATCGCAAATCGATCTTCGAGAAGAAGCGGGCCCCGCGAAGTTGATCCAGTAGGTCGTCCGCTCGCGGGATCGGGTAACGCGATTTTATCGTGACCCGATTCAGCGCCCGATAATCAATGCACATGCGCAGGCCTCCTCCTTTTCGGTGTGAACAGTATCGGTGTTGCGAATGGTGACGTACTCGGCCGGATGAACCCCTTGGCGAGCAAGTAGTCTAGTTGGCTTCACAACTCGTTGAGCTTTGGTTGGCTGAGCCGCCACTGCGTCCGAACAATGGGTTGTGCACTTTTTCCCAGCTGGATCCTGTGGTCTTCTGGACGCTGAGGTGGCAGGCCGTCGGGCAGGTCATCCGCGAAAATTTTGGGGTACCTTCGAATAATGCGCGCCAACTCCTCAGGAACTGCCGCACAGAGCGTGTCAATTTTGGCGGCTTTTTTGGTGGCCGCTACCTCGTGCAGGTGTACTGTGTAGCCTTGGGCCCCACTGTTGATCGCTCGCCGCATGGTGACAGCGTTGACACATGACGTTACAGGCTATGGGTCCGTCCATTTCGGAAGCGTTGTCAGCCCCGTATTCCCTCGCACGGTGCATGCTCCGGTCGTCCAGTCGATCGTCGGATTATTTCGCTGCAGACAGTCTCGTCCCAGCAACACATCGCAGCCGTCCAAAGTTGTCGCCAACATCTTCATTCCGAACAATAAACTGTCGCCATACTTTATCCGATTTTTTCGCGCTTCATCTCGAATGGCCAGCGGTGTCCCATCCACCAACCTCGCATCAATCCGGCAGACACCTGAGCAGCTTCACCCCAATTATTTTGGCCGTTGCCAGGTTGACGACTGTGGCTTGCCCCACTGTCAACGAATATTTTTATATTATAGTCGTCAACCCTCCCTACCACCAACACAGGGCAGTCCACGTTTTCACCCACATTATTCGTCCGGGTGCGGTCGATAGCTTGGGTACCGCTACTAGGTGTGGATGGTGATTGTCGAGCGACTGGGTCTCGTCAGTAGGGCGCCCGTTTGCTACCGACTCGTATCTTTTCCCGACCCTTCTCCGTCGTTTCTTTTCCCCTGCTTAAACTCTGGGCAATCTTTTCTCAGGTGGCCTAGCTGGTTGCATGCAAAGCACGGCCCGATGGCTCGGCTAGGCGCACCCACGCCGTTGATCGTGGGCTGTTGGGTCGATCCACGAATTCGAGGGCCCTCCCGGAAGCTCAATCTTGCCCACTGCATTAGCGCATCCGTTGAATTGGCTTCCTGGATGTCGTTGTTAAATGTGCGTGGCCCGCGTTCGTCGAACATCGTATTGTATCTCATATGTCAGGCCCGCAACGTAGCGATCCAACCGCTCCGCGTCGCTCATGGCGTCCACTTGGTCCGCCAAGTTGCAGAAAGTGCTTGTGTAGTCTTGGACCGAAGTCGGCTGCTTCCAGGCACGCAGCTTCATGCGAGCAGAATCCGAGGCGGATATATGCTCGAATCTGGTTTGCAAGACGGCGCCCCACTCCGTCCATGTGCGTATCGTGGCCGTCCAAAAAATTGAAGTCGCTCGTTGCGTGATAGGTGTCGAGGTCCCGTCGTTCGCACGTGCTATTCCTGCCGAAGTCCCCTCGCTTTGCAACGTTCGTCGCCACCTCTCCAACCCAGGTCACCTCAACAGTGATACTGCGAAATTAATGCGGGTGGCATCGTCATTAATCACAGCAGCGTAAAAAACACCTCCACACCAAACAACCATGCAGAAACAGTGACGAGCTTGTCACTTGGGTTAAATGGGGGCGGATTTGTCGTCTTAAAGCCCAAGACCTGAATTACAAAACAAAAGGGCAAAGTGTGCACAGTTTGCCTACCGAACCCAAAGTTGACCTCCCGAGCCAGAATGGTTACCTGAAAACGTCGCATGCCAAAAAGGCTGCATCGTAGATCAGAACACGAAGACCTAGCGAGAGACCCAAGCACCCCTTCCTGAGCGGAGAAGGGAACTGCCTGTGCACAGTTTGCCTAGAAATTGGTAATTCAGGAACGTGCGGGAGGCTACTACGCCGGACGCCAGTTCAGTCAGATGGTAAATTCCTACCTGCAGCCCCGTTGCAACACGAGAGAAACGCCAATAGGGCAGCGTGAAAGGCGTGTCGCGCATATTACGATAGGCCGCGCAAAACTATGTTAGTTGGACAACCTCGCTTGTCCCCTCACATCGTCCTCAGCCTTGACGCACCGCCACCCTCGCGACCCCCGTGTCCCCGTCGCCATCACCACTCCCATCGCTTCCTCGCACAGGCCGTCGGGCCCCATTCCGACGCCCCGTCCACCACTCCGCGACCAGCCACTTTCTCCGTAAGTCGTGTCCCCGCCACTCCCACTATCCTGACTTGCACGCCCACGTTTCTCCTCCCCGCGCGCGCTCCTACCCCGAACCAGCGCGGCATCCTCTTTCCACCCCGCGCGCGCTCTTCCCGCCTCCCGCGCGGCATCCTCTTGCCTCCCCGCGCGCGCATTTGCTGCCTCCCCGGCGGTCTCCTCTCACCATCCCTAGCGTGCGGCACGCGCCTTTATAGCGCGCGCGCCTGTTGCCTCCCCGCATGGCCTCCCCTCAGCATCCCGCGCGTGCTCCTCGACTACTCCAACTCGCGTGAGCCTCTCGCCTTAGCGCGCGCTTCACTTGCCTCCATGCGCGGGCTCCTCTCACCTCCCCGCTCGTCCTCCTCTCGCCGCCTCACGCGTGCATCTCTCGCCTCCCCGCGCGTGCATCTCTCGCCTCCCCGCGCGTGCTTCTCCCTCCACCCCGCGCGCGCCACTCTGGCCTCCCCGCGCAGCATCCTCTCACCTCCCCGCACGTGCGACACTCGCCTCCCCTCGCGAGCTCCTCTCTCCTCACCTCCAATGCTTGCTCCCCTCCCCTCCCCGCGCATGCTCCTTTCTCCTCACCTCCCCACGTGTGCGACTCTCTGCTCACCCTGCGTGCGGCTCTCGCCTCCCCGCACGTGCTTCCCCCTCCTCACCTTGCGTGCTTCTCTCGCCTCCCCGCGCGTGCTCCTCACTCCTCACCCTGCGTGCTCCTCTCGCCTCCCCGCAAGTGCCCCTCTCTCCTCACCCTGCGTGCTCCTCTCGCCTCAACGCACGTGCTCCTCTCTCCTCACCAAAGGGCGTCCTCAAGCCTCCCCGCGCGTGCTCCTCTCGCCTCCCCGTGCGTGATCCTCTCTCCTCACCGTGCGCCTCTCTCCTCACCGTGCGAGCGCCTCTCTCCTGACCTTGCGTGCTCCTCTGCTCCTCTGTTCCCCCTCTCCCCCTCTTTTTCTGCCCTGCTCCACTTTTCCCCCCTGCTCCTCTTTCGCTCTCTGCTTCTCTTTCCCCCCTCTGCTTCTCTTGTCCCCCTCCACTCATCCTTGCCCCCTCGCCCCCTTCCATCCCACTCAACTGCCTCCCCTCGCGTGCTCCTCTCGCCTTTATAGCGAAATGAGGGTCTCGCCTCATTTCGTTGCCTCCCCACACCATCCCGCATGAGCGGCTCCTGCCACCCCTCGCGTTCTCCTCTCTGTTCACCCACTCGTTCTCGTCTCGCCTCCCCGCGCATGCTCCTCTTTCCACGCCTTGCGCGCTCCTCTCGCCACCCCTCGCGTGCTCCTCTCGCCACCCCTCGCGTGCTCCTCTCGCCACCCCTCGCGTCCTCCTCTCGCCTTTATAGCGAAATGAGGGTCTTGCCTCATTTCGTGGCCTCCACCCATCATCCCGCGTGTGCTCCTCCTGCCACCCCTCGCGTTCATCTCTCTGTTCCCCTACTCGTTCTCCTCTCGCATCCCCGCGCATGCTCCTCTCTCCTCACCTTGCGCGCTCCTCTCGCCACCCCTCGCGTGCTCCTATCACCTCCCCTCGCCATCTCCCCTCGGACAGGTGGGGTGCTCCTCTCTCCTCACCTCCCGTGCTCCACTCGGACAGGTGGGGTGCTCCTCTCTCCTCACCTCCCGTGCTCCCCTCAGACAGGTGGGGTGCTCCTCTCTCCTCACCTCCCGTGCTCCCCTCGGACAGGTGGGGTGCTCCTCTCTCCTCACCTCCCGTGCTCCCCTCGGACAGGTGGGGTGCTCCTCTCTCCTCACCTCCCGTGCTCCCCTCAGACAGGTGGGGTGCTCCTCTCTCCTCACCTCCCGTGCTCCCCTTGGACAGGTGGGGTGCTCCTCTCTCCTCACCTCCCGTGCTCCACTCGGACAGGTGGGGTGCTCCTCTCTCCTCACCTCCCGTGCTCCACTCGGACAGGTGGGGTGCTCCTCTCTCCTCACCTCCCGTGCTCCCCTCTGACAGGGCAGGGTGCTCCTCTCACCTCACCTCCCGTGCTCCCCTCGGACAGGGCAGGGTGCTCCTCTCTCCTCACCTCCCGTGCGCCCCTCTGACAGGTGGGGTGCTCCTCTCTCCTCACCTCCCGTGCTCCCCTCTGGCAGGTGGGGTGCTCCTCTCTCCTCACCTCCCGTGCTCCACTCTGACAGGGCAGGGTGCTCCTCTCTCCTCACCTCCCGTGCTCCCCTCTGACAGGTGGGGTGCTCCTCTCTCCTCACCTCCCGTGCTCCCCTCTGGCAGGTGGGGTGCTCCTCTCTCCTCACCTCCCGTGCTCCACTCTGACAGGGCAGGGTGCTCCTCTCTCCTCACCTCCCGTGCTCCCCTTGGACAGGTGGGGTGCTCCTCTCTCCTCACCTCCCGTGCTCCACTCTGACAGGGCAGGGTGCTCCTCTCTCCTCACCTCCCGTGCTCCCCTCTGGCAGGTGGGGTGCTCCTCTCTCCTCACCTCCCGTGCTCCACTCTGACAGGGCAGGGTGCTCCTCTCTCCTCACCTCCCGTGCTCCCCTCTGGCAGGTGGGGTGCTCCTCTCTCCTCACCTCCCGTGCTCCACTCTGACAGGGCAGGGTGCTCCTCTCTCCTCACCTCCCGTGCTCCCCTCTGACAGGTGGGGTGCTCCTCTCTCCTCACCTCCCGTGCTCCCCTCTGACAGGGCATGGTGCTCCTCTCCTCTCGCCTCCCGTGCTCCCCTCTGACAGGTGGGGTGCTCCTCTCTCCTCACCTCCCGTGCTCCACTCGGACAGGTGGGGTGCTCCTCTCTCCTCACCTCCCGTGCTCCACTCGGACAGGTGGGGTGCTCCTCTCTCCTCACCTCCCGTGCTCCCCTCTGACAGGGCATGGTGCTCCTCTCCTCTCGCCTCCCGTGCTCCACTCTGGAATGTGGGACGCTCCTCTCTCCTCACCTCCCGTGCTCCCCTCTGACAGGGCAGGGTGCTCCTCTCTCCTCACCTCCCGTGCTCCACTCGGACAGGGCAGGGTGCTCCTCTCTCCTCACCTCCCGTGCCCCACTCTGACAGGGCAGGGTGCTCCTCTCTCCTCACCTCCCGTGCTCCACTCGGACAGGGCAGGGTGCTCCTCTCTCCTCACCTCCCGTGCCCCACTCTGACAGTGCAGGGTGCTTCCGGACCTGTTGTTTAGTGCCTGACCTGCCCACCCTACCCTACACAGCCAACACAATTCAATGACCTGCGTAATCCTCTGTTCCCCTCCCCCCCCCCCCCCCCCCCCCCCCCCCCCCCCCTCCCAACCCATTCACTCCCTAACCCCTCCCTCTCCCTTGTTGTTCTCTGCCTGATGTTCCCTTTTCTCACCCTCTAAACCAGTCCACCTCATCAGCCATGTCTTCATGGAGACGTACTCCTCGGAGACGGCTGACGCTTGGATTCAGGATTGGGGAGGAGGGTTCCGAGGATGATGAGGAGGAGAGGGGTCGGCGATGTGGAGAATCCCTGACGAGATTGATTTTGGGATGAGGTCAAACGATGCTAGGTCAATTGTCAATGTGGCCACGCAAGAGTCTGGAATTTACTGATTGTTAGCAAGGGAGGGATGGTTATCGGGTACGATACACCCTGTACATGTGTTCCTTTTTTTACACAGACTGCAATAGTTTGACATGTGGGTGGCTGACCATCCAGCTATGATGGATTGATCAATGAAGAAGCCCTAGGTATGTTTTTTGATGAGGAAGGACATGTTTCACTTCTCAGCTTCTAGCCATCGGGGAGCGCGTTGCGTCATTTGCCTCCACAACTTGTGAAAAAAACGGCATGCTCACGTGCACGGTATTAGTGCGAGACAAGCACACGCTTAGAGTTACACGTGAACACGTGTAGGATGAGTGATGAATGGGGCTGATGGTGACTTGGCTGATGTCCAATGCTGCTTGCCCTAGCCCTTGCGGATCTGAGCACAAAGAGAGGCGGGAGGGTCGAGACAGGTGGAGAAACAAGTACACAAAAAGTGGAGAGGTGGAGACAGGTACTACGGAAACAAGTTTACAAAAAGAGGTGCATAGTGTATGTATCAGGCCAGACAGTACACTTGGGAGTGTGTCTCAGTGTAGCGCATGTGGGGCGGACAGAGCAGCCACGGCGAGCGGAACGTGCACTACGGACAGCATGAGCAATGCAGAGATATGCAGCATGCTCGGCCACTCTCACCAGAGATATGCAGCATGCTCTCCGTTGTGGTCATGCAGGGGGGGATAGGAATGTGGGACAGGAGAGAGGATGGGACAGGCCACTGATATTATTACACTCCACAAACCATTGTCGCCCTTCAAACACTTGTAATATGTTTCGTGCCCTGGCCTCGGCACGCCTAGGGTGCGACATACCTCCCACATCTGCTGATACCCAATCCCGGCAAGAGCGAATGCTCCAATCATCTTACCCATCAATGGCGGACTACGTGGACCACGCTTGCTGGGAGGTAGGTCATCTCTCACTCGACTACTTGACCAAAATTCCTCCTTGGCTGAGCAGACATTGCACAACCACAGCAACCCCAGACATGCCCATGACCGCTTCCACGACTCAAGTTGCATTGCACCTCTGCACGCAGACCTCACGCACGTGCCTAAGGCGCGACCACAAAAGAACGATACCATCACCCTCGGATCGAGAAGACACACCATGTCTGCTGGAAAGTCTTCCCAATTTGGTGGGTTTGGCCAACCACGGGGCCAACGACGCTTGCGCGTCACGGAGCCAGCATCCAGGCTGCATGGACAGAAATCAAGACGGATACAAAATTGGATTGGTTTTTGTAATCGTGCTGCACGTGCTACTCCACATCTTGTCAATGAATGTGGAAATGAACATATGGGTTAGTATTTCAGCAGGACAATTATTGCTTGTACCTGTTTGGCCCCTCAGAATAGCCACCGGTTTGGGGGCTCGAATGAGTGCCATGCGGTTGTGTAGGGTCTTCAACACTCACCCCCTCGACCCCATACACGTTCTCGGCCGACAAGCACGGGCCATTCCCGTCCTCATTTGTTTGTGGGGTTCCTGTTGACATGCAGCAGGGGAACAAGAATTAGGGCCAGGGTTAGGGCTTCAAGGCAGGTCGGGGGAGGGTGGAAAGGACAAGGGTTCAGGGTAGAGCGGGGGGCGACAGTTTTATGGGCAACGGGGAAGAGAATTCAGCAAATAGGGACAGAAATAAGATTGGGGGTTGGTGGGAGATAATAGGCAGAATAGTAGACCTGTTGTGGTGGGGGGGTCGGGGTCGTGTTAGTATTAGGCAGTGCCATGGGGGAAACAAGCATTAGGCCCATAGGGCTGGGAGAGGGAGGGAAGTTTTTAGTAGAATGAGCATCTCATTACGTTCTTACCTTCTACCGTCGGGACGCTTGCTGCAGCTTGGTTGCGTGCACCGCCCCATCCGTTTCCTTCCACTCTTCTAGGCTCGCCATTTTTTCCTCTCTCCCATTTTGGAAACTTAAACTCTACACCTATCAGTGATCGGTCTGGCCTCGCTAACAGATCCTCCACCGTTGTGGTCCCTCTCCCCATGCGCTTCCAGAAGGCCTTCGAGTCGGATTCCAGATGCATCCTCACAACTTGGCCAGCGCCCTCTCCTCCAGGACCCGCACCTGTCGCAAAACCAAGCAAGCACATCAACCTGTGAGAACAGTACACACTGTCCACGGGGCAGAGTGCACATTACAGCACTATATCAAGCGACAAACCCCCACATTCTCCATTGTTACCTGCATGTCTTGCTGCCCTCATAAGTCTCTCTGTGACATGTGGCGCAGCTTGCATGTAGACTGATAATAGATCGTTATGCGTAGCCACTTTATTGTCAGGCATAAGCACGCTTAGCCCCACACGCAGGTAGCAAACTGGGGCTCTGAGTTTCCAATGGACTGTATAATGACGCTGGTTGAACGTGCTGCACACACTAGACACTGGATGGTTCGCCATCGAAGCCTGGATGGGAAGGATGGGACTGAATGGAAAGGGAATGGGGTGGTAGGTTGGTAGAGAGGCACGAATGTAGGGTGGAATGGAGAGTGGAGAGCATGTTGTCATGAATGGCGCGCAATGAGCGAGCGACCTCAGGTGAACGCAGATGGAGTGATGGGGCCATGGGCGACAGGAAGGGAAGTGAGGGAGATGAGCACTGACGGCGACAGGAATGGATGAGAGAGCGGATGGATGGGATGTGAGGGGGCCAGGCTCAAATGAGGGCTCAGCGATGGGAAGGGAGGGCATAAGGATGGGATGTGATGGATGTATAAGCGAGGGGCGGAAAGGATATTGGAGTGGTTGATTTCTCCAGTGAGTAGGGGACTACGAGGGGTATGGAGGGGGGATGATTGTATGGGCAATTGTGTGGCCAGGAACGTATGGTAGGGTGCGCAAAATGGGGGCAACCCTGGTGGGGAGATGTCTAAGTGATTCTTCTTACAAAGCGACACTTGGTAGTGCGTTCCAGAAAACGGCGGTTGTCCTTGAGCAACGGGGAAACTCTGGTAGGAGGGGAATCTTCTTGCCAGACGATAAGTGAAAGGTGGGCCAGATAAGGCAGGTGTGAGGATGGTAGCACGTACCTGGCTCAGGAAGTTCGGGCTCATGCACGCGGGGCGATGGTTGGCGATCAGGGTGGCTGAGATGCCCGCAGGTTAGTGGTGTTGCTGGCCGAAAGGTGGCTGCGTGCTGGAATGAGGAGGCAAGGACAGAGGGTTGAAGGAGGAAAGATTGGAATGGAGGAATCAGTTTTAAGGAGCGACAGGTAGGGCAATGAGGAACGACTGGAAGGGAAATGAGGGCGGATGGGAGGAAGGGAGGATGAGAGGAAAGGAGGATGTGGGGAAGGGGGGATGAGAGGAATGGAGGAGGAGAGGAAGGGAGGATGAGAGAAAGGGAGGACGAGGAGAGAGGATAAGAGGAAGGGCGGATGGGACGAAGGGAGGATGAGAGCAGGAGGGGATGAGAGGAAGGGTGGACGAGAGGAAGGGAGGATGCGAGGAAGGGCGGATGAGAGGAAGGGAGGATGCTAGGAAGGGTGGACGAGAGGAAGGTTGGATGAGAGGAAGGGCGGATGAGGGGGTGGGAGGACGAGAAGACGGGTGGACAAGAGGAAGGGTGGATGATAGGGAGGGCGGTGGGGGGGGGGGGGGGGCGGAAGTAGGGGAGAGAGGACGAGAGGAAGGGAGGACGTGGGGAAGGGCGGATGAGAGGAAAGGAGGATGAGAGGACAGGAGGACGTGAGGAAGGGGGGATGAGAGGGAACCACCACGAGAGGAAGGGGGGAATTGGGGAACAGAGGATGAGATGAAGGGCGGATGGGGGGGAGGGAGGATGGGATGAAGGGCGGATGAGGGGGAGGGCGGATGATGGGGAGGGAGGACGAGAAGAAGGGTGGATGAGAGAAAGGAGGATGTGAGGGAGAGACGATAAGAAGGTGAGAGGATGAGAGGAAGGGCGGATGAGAGGAGAGGAGGATAAGAGGAAGGGCGGAAGAGAGGAAAGGAGGATGAGAGGAAGGGGGGATGCATTGAAGGTTGGATGAGAGGAAAGGAGGATGAGAGGAAGGGGGGATGCATTGAAGGTTGGATGAGATGAAGGGCGGATGAGGGGGAGGGCGGATGAGGGGGAGGGAGGACGAGAAGAAGGCCCCCGTAGAGGGAGGGCGGACGAGGGGGAGGGCGGATGAGGGGGGGGCGGATGAGGGCGCGTGGCGAAAGAAGGGTAGGGATGACGAGTGGAAATGAGGACGACAGGAGGGGCGGATGAGAGGGAGAGAGGATGTGAGAGAAGGGCGGACGAGGGGAAGGGCGGATGGGAGGAAGGGGGGATGTAGGGAATTGTGAGCGACAGGTAGCGAAATGTGGGCGATGGGCAGGGAAACGAGGGCGACGAGAGGGGAAATGAGGGCTACGGGAAGGGAAATGTGGGCGACGAGAGGGGAAATGAGGGCGCAGGGAAGGGAAATGTGGGCGAGGGGGACGCCATGAGTGCGGCGGGAATGGAATTTAGTGCGAAGGGCAGGGAAACGAGGGCGACGGGGTGGAAATGTGTGAGAGGGGACGGGAAATTAGTGCGACGGGAAGGGTGATGTGGGCGACGGGAAGGGAAACGAGGGCGACGGGAACGGAAGTGAGTGCGACGGGAAGGGAAATGGGGCGACGGGAAGGGATTTGTGGCCGACGGGTCCGGTAATGAGGGTTCTCGGGAAGGGAATGGAGGGCGACCGGACTCGGGAAGTGTGGGCGTCTCGAAATATTGGATACGAGGGCGACGGGCCGCGAAATGCGTGCGACGGGAAGCTGAAATGCGTGCGACGGGAAGCTGAAATGCGTGCGACGGGAAGCTGAAATGTGGGCGTCGGGAAGTTGAAATGTGGGCGACGGGAAGCTGAAATGCGTGCGACGGGAAGCTGAAATGCGTGCGACGGGAAGCTGAAATGCGTGCGACGGGAAGCTGAAATGCGTGCCGCGGGCCGCTGAAATGCGTGCGACGGGAAGCTGAAATGTGGGCGACGGGAAGCTGAAATGTGGGCGACGGGAAGCTGAAAATGTGGGCGACGGGGGGCTGAGATGAGCCCGACGGGAGGCTTCTCACCATGCGCTATGTGAATGGCCGGCGCTCGCAAACGGCGGGGAGGGCCCACGTGAGGGGCAGGGAGGAAGGCTTGATGCTGGGGGCGCCTCGAGCGCGTGGGAATCTAAGCTGCACCGAGTGGTGGCGTAACAAGGCTATGTGGGGCGCCCCGTCTCATACGTCCGCCCTGTTCCCTATGTGTGTGTCCTCAACACCCTAAAAATCGCGCCTTTCCGGGTCCATCGATTAGGACATTCGCTCCTAATGGCTCCTCCTCGTTTTTCTAGAAGCTAAGGTGGCGCCTGGTTGAAGGGGACTTAGGAGTAGTTATGTTTGTTCGAGTGCCTGAGTTTGCCTATTCAAACTGTGCACACTTTCCCTTCGCGTGCTTCTCAGGTGAGTCGAACTTGGGAAGATGGGCCGTGTGCCATGTTTGTTCCAACCAATCAGCAAGTGCACAGTTTGTGGCGAACTGTTTTCAGTCGCAAGGTGGTTTTGTTTTTTCGCGTGTCACTCAACCCATCCGAACCTCCAACTGGCAGCCCGCCGAACCTACAAAAACTCAGTTGACCCCCGTTGAGTAATTCAGGTCTTGGGCTTTAATCTTGACAGTTGTTGAGGCTGCAATTGCCACTGGAACTGTTGCCGCTGCGGATGTCGTTGCTGGCGCTGTTGCTGCTACACGTGTCGGCACTGCACGCAGCTGTTGCGGTGACTGTTGCTGTTGTGCCTGCCTCGCATCGACCGCATCCATGGAGCCTTTCAGCTCGCTGAAGACCCGCTCGTCTGGCTTGAAGCTGCTACTTGCGTCCTCTACGATGGGCGACTCCTTGCGCGCTTCACCTCGCGCCTGGTGTAGTTCCACGTTTTCCTTCCTCAGGCGCTCCATATCCACAGACATCGTCTGCAAGTTGGCCTGCATCGCCCGGAAGTCTTGCATGAACGCTTCAAACGCTTCGTCACACGGGCAAGGGGTGGCTAACAATTTTCCGGACTTTGATGAAGGTGCAAACGCCATCGTAGACGATGTGAAATAATCGTATCTATTTCACAGGCCGACCGCTTTGCAGCCCACCAAGCCTATCGCTCCCCTTACACAAACTACCCCAGAAATGCGAAGGTACCCTAGGAAAGTAGCTATGATACGAAGTGTTATGAATTGTAAATCAGAACAGTGCGCAGAATGTGTAACGAATTGTACATTGAGAAGCTGCACTGTGCATTCATACCTGTAGCAAGAACGGAGATCACAGAAAGGAGTACGAAGGCGAAAGTTCGAAGCGACGTGGACAGTTGGAGAGCATGTGGACCATCGGCATCGAACGACATCGGGCAGCAGCAGGAGCAAGGAAAAGGCGGGAACAAGTTCGTAACTGTACGCGCCGCACGGCTGGGCTTGAATTTGAATAAGGGAATGTACCCCTTAGAGTACATGGCTAGCTAGGACGTTTGGTATTCATTTGTACTATTATATTAACCACTATATTTGCTTGTTTCATCATCTGTGTCATTTTATATTCACTCTGATCTGAGGTCAAAGGCTTACCACTACCATACACTTTGTGCGAACCTTCCTGAGGAGATCCTGGTTACGATATACTTTCAGATCGCAGCATGTTATGAGAGCGACTTAGGAATCCTTCGCAACACCACCACCGAAATCTTCGACGAAATAAAAGTGGCGTCCGACACACGCTCGCACGTAAGAATGGCCGGTGGATCCGGAGGTCAGTCGAATCTGACCATTGAAACGCAAGCCAACATGGCTGCGACAAACGAGGAGACGATGACTATCGGCACCGCCGCCCTCGCACAACTACTTTAGCGACTCTCAACTCTGGAGCAAAGTGTCCAGACGTTGTGGAATGGCGACGTGGGAAAATCTTCCTAACCCTCTCAACCGGCCTCAAATGGCCGCGATACCGCCCCGCACACCTTCTGTCTCAAAACAAATGGCTCAACTCCCAAGACTCCCCATCCCAGCGAAGAAGCAATTCTCACAGCACAATCAAGGTTTCTGAGCATATCAAAATAAAGACAAGTG